AAACATAAATTACACACATGGGAAGACCCAGGTTCAAAATTCACCTACCTTGACTACTTTCTGGTTGTGATTTTATGTGACTTTAGGCAAGTAGCACACCTCTCTGACCCTCAGCACCTACACGAAAAATAGCATCATTCACAAAACTCAGGCACTAGGTGTGTGGAAAGTGGTAGAGCACCTTCAGAGCAAGGCAAAGAGAGGGAAAAAACAAAACCAAAAACTTGAAAGAAACCCTAATGTTCACCAAGAGATGGACAAATAAAATGTGGTATGTACATTTGGGGGGATAGTAGTAGTAGTAGTAGTAGTAGTAGTAGTAGTAGTCATGGAGCTTGAACTCAGGGCCTGGGCGCTGTCCCTGAACTCTTCTTGCTCAAGGATAGCTCTCTACCATTTTGAGCCACAGCACCATTTCCAGTTTTCTGGTGGTTAATTGAAGATGAGTCTCATGAAGGGGCTGGGAAGGTGGCTCAGTCGTAGAGCGCTTACCTTGCATGCATGAGGCCCTGGGTTCGATTCCTCAGCACCACACAAGCAGAAAAAGTCAGAAGTGGCACGGTGGCTCAAGTGGTAGAGCACTAACCTTAAGCTGAAGAGCTGAGGGACAGCGCCCAGGCCCAGAGTTCAGGCCCCATGACTGACCCCCCCAAAAAAAGTCTCATGGACTTTCCTGCTCAGGCCAATTTGAACCACAATCCTCGGATCTCAGCTTCCTGAGTAGCTAGGATTACAGGCGTGAGCCACCGGCACCCGGCATAGTGTGCACATTTAATGGAATGTTGTCTACCCTTAAAAAGAAAGGACCTTGTGGCATTCGATAATGTGGTTGAAGCTTGAGAACCTTGTACTAAAATCACAAAGTACAAATACTGTATGAGTTTGCTTCTACCAGGTAGTGAAAATAGGCAAATCCACAGGAAAATATAGGAAAATGTATATACAGGAAAATGTTGTTCAAGGAATACAATACTTCAAATTTGCAAGATGAAAAGGCTTGGTATTCTACAACAATGTGAATATGGTGAACACAACTAAGCACTTGTGCACCAAAAACTAATTAAGACAATACATTTTATGTTTTCTGGAGTTGCTGTAACTTTTATGAAATGGCATTACACTTCTAAAAGAACTGGGTACAGGTGACTCACACCTGAAATCCTAGCTACTCAGGAGGCCTGGAGATCCTGGTTCAAGGTTAGCCCAGTCAGAAAAGTTTGCTAGATTCCAAAATAAGAACCCAGCAAGGCTTAAGGCTAGAGGCATGGCTCAAGTGGTAGAGCACCAGCTGAACAAGCAAGCATGTATGAAACCCTGAGTTCAAGCCCTGGTATCAGAGGGAAAAAATTACTAAGTACAGACTCTATCACAAAGCCCTCTATAAACCTCAGGTGTCATTACCTGATCACCAGAGCCTGCTAACTCCCTGGAATCCATTTTGAGATTGCCTTTTAGACCTCACTTGTAGTGAGGACCAAGGACTGGAGATCTGAGGAAGACACCCTGTCCATTCCAGTGGCTGCAACACCATCAAGGAAATGATGCTAGCATGGGAAAGAAGACAGGAAATTGAGGCAAGGCCCTGACCAGAGATTCTGGAGCTAGAGACAAAGGAGGTCAAGCCAAAACACCAAGGAAGTTGAACCTCTTGGCCCAGTGTTTGGCCCAGATTGAGTGCCCAGGAGTGCTGACAGAGATCTTGCAGCAGGAGCCCCCCCCCCCCCACTAGGAAATGGAGGTTGGGTCAGCTTCTGTCACTGAAGTTAACTGGGGCTGCCTCCACCCGCCCCACTTTCTTGGTCTTGGGACTGCAAGCTACTGAGACACCAAGGAAGCTCCTCTCAAAACAAGAGGACCTGTCCAGCCATGGTGGAGTCCTGGACTCTTGAGGCAGGAAAAAATTTCAGGCTGCATTACAAAGCAACAGACTTGCAGAGTTTTATCCGGCAACCAAAGCAAAATACAAAAGGCACTTCAAAGACCAAGTGTGGACACTGAGCTGAACACAGCGGCTTGTGCTAACTAACATCAGAGGTTGATACATACACCTAAGCTAAGTAGGTTAAGGCTTACCCTCTCCTTTAGAGGAGCCCTCTCTTCCTCTGAGTGCCTGTTAAACTTGATCATTCTTGTTACAAGGCTTGATCGGCTCAATCTGACCCAGAAGCATCAGATCCAGCCAGTTTCCTGAAATGTCTGTGACACAGCCATCTCCTTGTCTGCTTTCCTTGAGCATATTTTTCATCAAAGGATGGCTTCCACCAGTTCTTTATCTTTAAGCTATTTGTCCGGCATGTGCTGTACAGATCTTAGGGCAAATTGTTTGGACAAGATTAAAGGTGCTGCTTTTCTCTGTGGCAGCCTGTTGAAGGAGTGGGTGTTTGAACCCTGGCTAACTCGTATTTGGTCTCAGTTTGTGGTGCCCATGATTCACGGTAACTAATCTCCCGCCTCCATTGCTTTCCTTGTTTTCCTCTCTCACGTCTCATGTTCTCCCATGCTTGCTCTTGGGAGTCCCTCCCCAGCAACCTTTGGACACAAGTACCATCTATAATTCTAGCTACTCTGGAGGTGAAGGACAAAGATCATAGTCTCAAGGCTGACTCGAGCAAAGTACGAGATTCTACCCAAAGAAAATAACCTAAGCAAAAAGGAATGGGGGTAAGGTTCTGAGTTCAAAAATCTCAGTACTGCCTCCCTTACCCCCCTCACACACACACACACACACACACACACACACACACACACACACACAAACAAAGAATAACAAGGCAAAGCAAATAATCTATAGGTGAACAATAACATAGTTATATCCAACCAACTGTTTAAATGTCATTTTGGATAGCTATACAAATAATGTAGGGGGAACTATAATGCCAGTATCATTATAACAAGGAATGAGATGGTGTAAAATTGTATGTATATACTGTCTAGAACCAAATTTGTTGTTAATCTTATGCAGAGAGACCAGACCAAAAACAAATGCCTCAAATGGTGGAAATAACTGTGTTGGGATAAACTGATACAAATTTTCCCTATTTTGTATAAATTTGATAAAGAAAAAGGGAGGTTGAAAAAGGATCCCTGCCAAGCCGGGCCCTGGTGGCTCACGCCTGGAATCCTAGCTACTCAGGAGGCTGAGATCTGAGGATCGCAGTTCAAAGCCAGCCCAGGCAGGAAAGTCCGTGAGACTCTTATCTCCAATAAACCACCAGAAAACTGGAAGTGGCGCTGTGGCTCAAGCGGTAGAGCGCTCACCTTGAGCTGAAGAGCTGAGGGACAGCGCCCAGGCCAAGAGTTCAAGACCCACGACCGACAAAAAAAAAAAGGGGGTCCCTGCCTATCCCGGGCCTTGGCCCACAGAGAGGCTTCGTGTGGCGTGGAGAGGTAAGCCACCATTGTGGACGTTCTTACGGCACCCACACTGCGCTGCTGGGGGAGGGGGTCAGTCCAGTTTGATTGCGTCGTTCTTCTTGTCTGCCTGTGTGCACCTGCGTCAGGAGCCTCGCTTGCTGGCTCCTGAGCGTGTTCGCAAGCCAGCCCTTTTCTTCCTCCTGCAGCGATTTGCACAGCTGCAAGCCTGGCCTGCCCGAGAGCCCCGCAGCGCGGCCAGCGGGGGGTGGAATAACCGTGCGAGCAGGCGGGCAGCTGCGCCCTGGTTGGGACAGAGCCGCTGCTGGCCAAGGGCTGGGGGCCTGCGTGAAAGCAGAGGATGAAGCGCGCTCCTGGCCGGCGCAGGCCGCGCGTCCCCCAGCCCCGCTGAAGGCCGGGTCCCCAGGCGTGGCAGCTGCGCGGGGTGGGGCACAGCTTAGGAGGTGGAGCCTAGGGAGGGAGGAGGTGCTTGAGTCAGAGGTGGACCTTCAGAGGTGACCTTGAGGCCCTGGACCCTTCTTCTGTCTCTGTTGCCTCCTGGCCTTGAAGAGCGCAGTTTTGCTCCCAGGTTAACAAGATGCCCAACCACCGGCCCAAAGCCACGAGGCCCACGGACCAGGGCGCAGGGCTTCAGAACGCTGTGCGCCTGCGTCGACCTTTCCAAAGTCTGTCGACCCTCTCCTATATGGTGCTGCATATAGGAGCACCGGATCCGGATACAGTGCTGCAGTCACAGCAGGCGGGATCGGATACAATGTTGCAGTCACGGCAGGCGGGATCGGATCAGATACTGAGCTGCAGTCACGCAGGTGGCTCCGGATACAATGCCGCAGTCACGCAGGGGGCTCCGGATACAATGCCGCAGTCACGCAGGCGGCTCCGGATGTTTTCTTGCAGTCACGGCAGGCGGGATCGGGGATCGGATACTGAGCTGCAGTCCCTGCAGGCGGGCTCCGGATACAATGCCGCAGTCACGCAGGGGGCTCCGGATGTTTTCTTGCAGTCACGGCAGGCGGGATCGGGGATCGGATACTGAGCTGCAGTCCCTGCAGGCGGGCTCCGGATACAATGCCGCAGTCACGCAGGGGGCTCCGGATGTTTTCTTGCAGTCACGGCAGGCGGGATCGGGGATCGGATACTGAGCTGCAGTCACGGCAGGCGGGCTCGCTCCGGATGTTTTCTTGCAGTCACGCAGGGGGCTCCGGATGTTTTCTTGCAGTCACGCAGGCGGCTCTGCAGCACGTTTCCTTGCAATCACAGCAGGCTGAATGCACTTACGGTGTGCGGTCACCGTGAACGACGCCACGTCCCCCTGTCGGGGGCAGGATGTCATGCCAGTCCCCGAATTCCTTTTTCTAGATCTTTTTAATGTGAGGGGGGGGAAAAAACCCACGGCGGTGCCGCTGGGGCCTCGCGGGGGCGAGGCCGTTATGGACTGCCCGGTACCCGTGCCCCGTGCCCGGCGCGCCCCGGCCCAGCTCGCCCTCCCCGACCCCCTTGTCCTCCCCCACCCCCTCTCGCTGTCCTCCCCCATTCCCCGCTCCCTCCTTCCCCCCTCCTTCCCCCGTCCCCTCCCCCTCCTCCCCCCCGCCGTGCTCCCCCTCCCCTCTCCCCCTGCCCCTCGCAGCATGGACGCCCCTGTGCTGACCGAGACACAGATGGCCCAGCTCAAGAAAGCCTTCTCCCTGTTCGATAAAGATGGCGCTGGCGTCATCAAGACCCGGGACGTGGGCACCTTGCTGCGGTCGCTGGGCCAGAACCCCACGGAGGCGGAAGTGCAGGACCTGCTGGGCCAGGTAGACCCCGACGGGCAGGGCACGGTGGCGCTCCCCGTGCTGGCGGCTGTGATGGCCAGCCGGGGCTCGGTGGCGGTGGAGAGCAAGGAGGAGATCCGCGAGGCCTTCCGCGTCTTCGACAAGGACGGCAGCGGCTTCGTCAGCGCGGCCGAGCTGCGCCAAGTCCTGACCACGCTGGGGGAGAAGCTCACCGACCTGGAGGTGGACGAGATGATCCGCGAGGCCGACATCGACGGCAACGGCCTGCTCAACTACGAGGAGTTCGTGCAGATGATGATGGCCAAGTGAAGGACCGGCCCCACCCGGGCCTGTCCCGCCCAGGCCACGCCCCTGGCCACGCCCACCCGGGCCTGTCCCGCCCAGGCCACGCCCCTGGTCACGCCCCTGGCCTGCCACGCCCCTAGCCACGCCCCTGGCCTGTTCCACCCAGGCCCCGCCCCGGCCCCGCCCAGAAGAGGCGAGCTCCACCCTTTACTTACCAAAAAAGAAAAGAAAGAAAGGAAGGGTTCCTGTATTCATTCCATTTCTCTATAGCAAAACCGAAGGTGCGAAAGTGCCCGTTGTCCACACCAAGTCTGCACGCGTGGGCCGGTGGTCTGCCCCTCCAAGGAAGCTCCGCCTGAGGACCGAGCTCCTCAGCACTGAGCACGGTACTTGACAAAGAAGGAAGTGGCAGTGGGTTCCTGTCTGGGCCGGCCAGGGCTTCACGCCTGCCGCAGCCTGCTGGTAGAGCACCGCGGGCATTCGGATTAAAGTCGCAGATGGGAGTTCGGGTAAATGGGTTCTAGCGGGTTTGCTGAAAGCGAGCGTGTTTCTAATGGGTTGACCTTCAGGAGGGGGAGCAGGGAAAAAAGCAAAACTGGGTGAAGGGTGAGCCAGAGACGCGGCCCTCGGGTCCCGCTGGGCTTCCTGCGCCCCCGTGAGCCCCGCCTGGCCCCTGGGGTCTGTTGGTTTTAGCATCGTCTAGCATTGCACTAGAGCGAAGTGAGTGTCTGGGGTCACTCACCCAGCACACACACACTTCTGATAAGGAATCTGCACCAGGAGCATCTTTGGACTCTGTTTTTAAAGCTCTCAGAACCACCACCTGGAACCCCCAGGGGACACTGTGGTTGTGGACGTCAGCACAACCATAGACATTGCCGTTCAAGAAACTTACAATTTACCTCCGTTCCAAGTTGTAAATGCTAGTCTTTCTATTTCAATAAAAAGACCGTTAACTTTTTAGAAAATCCCTTTTATTCATGTTTAATCCGTGTGTGTGTGTGTGTGTGTGTGTGTGTGTGTGTGTGTGTGTGTGCCCGTGTGCGCCTATCCTAGGGCTTGAACTCAGAGCCTGGGTGCTGTCCCTCAGCTTTTTAGCTCAAGGCTAGCTTTCTATTACTTGATTCACAGCTCTATTTCTTTCTCTTCGGTAGTTAATTGGAGTCTCAAGGACTTTTCTCCTGGGCTGACTTCAAGCCTTGATGCTCAGATCTCAGCCTCCTAAGTAGCTAAGATTACAGGTGTGAGCCAGCAGCACCCAGCTTCATTTTGTTCTGTATATTGTTCATTTTCTCAAAAAAAAGTATACATATATATTGTCAGTTGTGGGGCTTGAACTTGGGGCCTAGGTGCTGTCTCTGAGCTTCTTTGTCCTCAAGGCTAGCACTCTGCCACTAAAACCATAGTATCACTTTCAGTTTTTGAGTGGTTATATGGAGATGAGCCTCACAGAAAGTTTTCTGCCTAGGCTAGCTTTGAATCATGATGCTCAGGTCTTAGCCTCCTGAGTAGCTAGGATTACAGGCATGAGCCACAGGTACCTGGCTCTATATATAAAGACCTGAACATCTGTCTTCAAAAGCAACCTCTGTCATGGAAACCACACTCAGCCATGGGCAAACGCAATAAAAAGCCTGACAGACACAACCAGGGCCTGAAGAACAATTCCAGGGATTCCACAAAGACTCGTTACTTTCGTTGATTTGTTCGTTACTTTCGTTGATTTGTTTCTAAAGCCCAAGACAATCTCTCCAATCTCACGTATTAGTGTCCCCCTGCCAACAATATTGTATACTGACACAAAGGCATCTTGTAGGACATTTCTGATTGCGTAATACTTGGCACTCATAGCTGAAGAAAGCTCCTTACATGGAGCTGCTGCACAGTTCCAGACTACATAAAACCACACAAGATGGGGTTCACCGCTAAGGCCAATTCTGTGGTCCTAAAAGTCAAAGTGGACAGCTGAGGAAGGCAGAGTCTCGTTAGAGATAAAGAAGGTGGGCTGCCGAGGGGCACAGAACCATGAGGTATTCAACGCCCCCCTGTTTCCAGCCTCAGAACCTCCAGCTTCTGGGCAGGGGCCCTACCCGCCCTGCTGAGCCTCAAAGGCACAGGCGGCCCCAGAGCAGGAGGGAGCAAGTCAGACCGCAGCTCCTGTCCCCCAAGCAACTGGCATCTCCATGAAGTGACCAGTCAAGACTCCACCTTTCTCCTGCTTTAAAAAGAAAACACTTGCCGGGCGCCAGTGGCTCACGCCTGTCATCCTAGCTAGGCAAGCTGAGATCTAAGGATCACAGTTCAAAACCAGCCCAGGCAGGAAAGTCCATGAGACTCTTTTGTGTGTGTGTGTGTGTGGTCACAGGGCCTGAACTCTAGGCCTGGGCACGGTCCCTCAGCCCTTCAGCAAAGGCGAGTACTCTACCACTTGAGCCACAGCACCACTTCCAGCTTTTTCTGCTTATGTGGTGCTGAGGAATAGAACCCAGGGCCTCATCCATGCAAAGCAAGCACTCTACCACTGAGCCATCTTCCCGGTCCCCTATGAGACTTTTAACTCCAATAAACCACTCACAAAACTGCAAATGGCGCTGTGGCTCAAGTGGTAGAATGCTAGCCTTGAGCTGAAGGGCTCAAGGACATTGCCAGAGTTCAAGCCCCAAACCAACCAGAGAGAGAGAGAGAAAACACAGCATTTGTTCTTGTAAGAGGAAGATATTTCCATGCACACATATAACCTACTTTCATCACATTCACACCCTTCTATCTTCTCCTTTGCCCCTCTCCTCTCCCAGAGATCCTCTCCCAAACAGTCCCCCTGTAATTTACTAGACCTCTCCTTTTAAGAGCAAAAAAGTAACACCCACTGGATTTTGTCAGCTATATGAGAATTGATGGTATCAGAGGCTGATAGAGGGTCTCATGGTAAGTGGGCCTGAAGACAGGTTTAGAATGATGAACGGAGCAGCACTGATCAAGATGCCTTGAACTCATAAACTGACATGTTGAATTGAAAATCCCTTTTCTATAACTGCTTGATGCTCATTTTTAAAAATGCAATCTCAGGGCACCAGTGGCTCACGCCTGACATCCTAGCTACTCAGGAAGCTGAGATCTGAAGATCATGGTTCCAAAAGCCCGGGCAGGAAAGTCTGTGAGACTCTTACCTCCAATAAACCACCAGAAAACCAGAAGTGGCACTGTGGCTCAAGTGGGAGAGTACTAGCCTTGAGCTGAAGAGCTCAGGCCTAGAGTTCAAGTCCCACGACTGACAAAACAAAAATGCAATAAAAAATAAATAGAAGGAGCTATTCTGGGGCTGGAGCAGCCACGGGTGGGAGAGAGCGGTCCAGCAGAGGAGGGAGCAAGAGGAAGAGACAGAACTTTGTGAACAGGAGCACAAGAAACAAGCTGGCTGATGCCCTTCGCATCTTTGACCATCGAACCTTAATCCAGTAGGAAACCTAGCCATCATGTTATGCAGTGGCCTTCGACATGTAATCCATGCACCTGGAGTTCTAGACTCCAGATCCAACTCCAGGGATTCCATATGTCCAACCACTCACCCCAGTGTACCAAGTAAAGAGGCCCACAGTGGTGAAGGGCAGAGAATAGAGGTTCACCGTGTGGCCCAGATACACTACAGGAAGAGGCAAAGAGAGCATTTCCACCCATCTGCAGGGCACAGTCATGAGCTTCCGGCATCCGTGGAGGCAGAATGGGGCCGAGGGTGAGAGGGCTGCCTAATTATTAAATAGTCCCAGTTACTTTCCAGCTGTGGCCTGGACGAGGCCTCAGGACGGAGAGGGCGGGGCTGGTGTGGACGGCTCCCGCGGGCGCAGTGACAGCAAGGCTAGAGAGCGCAGGCTCCAGGCCCCAAGGGTGCAGAAGCCATGCTGAAGAGCCGGGGCTCCGTCTTTGAGATTTCCCTCCTGAGGCACAGGGATTTCTGGGGAGCCCCGGGCTGGAGATGGATGGACACCCCTGATGCTGGGCCCAGCGTGGCCGTCATCCACTTTCTCCTGTGTTCAACCTCAGTTTCCACATCTTGAGAACAAAGAGGACTCATGACAAGAGCACAGTGGCCTGTTTGGAACAGAGAGTCCAAGTTCAAATCCTGCCCTCAGCACTTGTTCACTGTTGTTTACCCTGTGCGCCTCTTCATGGGGAAATTGGGGTGGGGGGAAGAACAACGTCAACCTCTGAGGATTGGATGAGAGAATCCCTGGAAAGGGTTTACTTACCACAGTGCTGGGATTTAATTGAGTAGGGCTGCTCACTGTGCCGAGTGTTCCTATGATCCTGAGTGCCATATTAACTGTGGCATTGTTCACTGACCCATGGTTGGCTGCCACAGCGGTGTGTGGTTTGGGGGATCTGGCCTGGGAAGTGGCAGGAGAGTGGGCTGTGAGCAAACTACCAGAGCCACGCCTACAACGGCCTGAGACTTCAGCGGCCTGGAATTAGCTCCGTGAAAATCCAATTGCCAGCAGACGGTGCTTGTGCTGAAAAGCAGGGACTCCTCGCTGGGGCCTGCAAATGCCCAAAGAGCAACTAACAGCGCCAGGAAAGTTTGGCATTCATCCCTTCCTCTGACTTCGCTCCAAGCCATGCTCCCTGAAGCCACCTTGGAGATCCAGGAGGAGGGACAAGAACCTACAGTGCCCCATAGGCAAGGACTTTCCTATCATGACCTGGCATCACCATACACCAAGGTCCCCTCCCTCCCCAACAGGGATGCCCTCCGCTGCCCCGGATGAACTGCCAGGCAGCCTTCAGCAGCACATCACCCCTAGGAGTCCTCTATGCCTTCCTGACACCCCAACGTACCCCACCCTCATTCCCACACATGCTGCTCTTCCTCCTCTCTCCCCTCTTGCCCAGTGCAGGCTCCACACCTGGATCCTCTTATCTATGTCTCCTGAGTAGCTGGGACCACAGTTGTAAAACACCATGCCCGGCTTATTGGTTGCGATGGGGAAGAGGGTCTCACCAAGTTAACCCCAGGCAGGTCTTGCATTGCC